ATGCATTTTCTCAGTTTGAACATTTGATGTGTCATCTATGTTGTATTCTGAATAAAATATTGAAATTTGAAACTTCCACATCATTGCATTCTGTTTTTATTCACATTTTTTACAGTGTCTCAACTTTTTTTGGAATCGGGTTTGTAAATATTTACTCACCATTTTTTGCTTTGTGCTATTTTCTTTTTAGGACATACTTATTAAGTTTGAGGCACGTGAATTAAAAATGTTTCTCTCCACAGCTCCCCAGCAGCAAGTCATTGTTCAGGAGTCCAAGATGATGCCACACATGAGTGCAGCGGGGATGGTAAGGAGATTATCTGCCTTTAAAGTCGACATAAAAAATGTGGTGTTTTGTGTTCATAAGAGATAGTGGTGGCAGTTGTTGTGTATTCCTCAAAAAAAAAAGAATAAGTAGTAAGTAAAATGAATTGTAACTATGGGTGTAAACTATAGACTGTTGCCAGTGGCCAGTTAGATGACTGTGTTGACAAGGAGCAAGTGACTGTTGTTGGTTAGCAGTGTGATGGGAATATTGATAAGTTCAGGTGATCTGCCTGGGCACCGTGGAGTCATTAAAGCTTTGTGCAGCTGCTTTTCTTGATCTAGAATTTGCCATTTTGCCTGCACAGTATTTGAAGCTTACCAGTTGCAGTGGGATCTAAAATCTAAAAAAAAACTTAGAAACACCTTGTTAGTTGAATGAGAGAAAGGCAAGATTCAAAAATATTCCACATTTTATTTCCCACATTTACACTTGAGTAGTCAACAAGAAGACTGCAAGGGGTCTTGTTGTGTCTCTGTAGACTCAGAGCATATTGATGGTCTAGTAGCAGACAGATAGAAGGGCATAGAGAGTAGAGGAGGGGAAGGACATTCAGAGAGTTATTTTGTAGCCTGGTTTACAATTGGCTAAAGCCTGTCTTTATTACATTGTGTGGACAAGTTTTTGTTTGATGTCATAGTTGTAAGGACATTTCAGCCAGTCCTCACAATGTCCGAGGGCTTTTTGACGGTAAAAACGTGGTCTTAGGGTTTAGGTAATGGTTTGGGCTTTGGCATTTAGTTGTAATGGTTAAAGTTACATTAGGGGAAGGGGCTGGGGAAGCATTATGTCAAAGAGTATCCTCACAAAGATAGCTGTACAAATCAGAATCAGTTTATTGGCCAGGTGTGTGAGTGTGAGAGAACTGGTGTTGTCCTCATGGCCTCAGTTCAATGATTTTTTTTTTTTTTTTTTTTTTTTTTTTTTTTTTTCCTTGTATTCTCCTTTTCTCCTGTAGAGTGCAGCAGCTACTGCAGCAACCCTTGCTTTACCCGCAGGGGTCACCCCATACCAACAGCTCATCACTAGTCAAGGTAAAAATACTCACAAAATTTATGACAACACAGCAGTGAGAAAGTTACCAAATTATCAGATACTCAAATTGTCAAATTAAGTTAATTAATAAGCGTTCCTGGTTCTTGTGATACATAAATTGCTCCATGTTCCTTCAGCAGTTGCAAAAGACGCATGTGTTTTCACAGAATTGTCATCTGTTTGTCTTGTGATGCCCCAGGTCAGATTCTGCAGGTGGTCCGAACTTCCAACGGGGCTCAGTTCATCATCCAGCAGCCCCAGCAGCAGATACTCCTGCAGCAGCAGATGCAGCCTGGTGGTGTGCAGGCACCAGTCATACAGCAGGTGTGCACCATCGCACAGCTGGAAACATTCAGCTCTGGAAAACAGAAGGAACACCTTTGTAAATTAAAAACAAAGTGCAGTGCATAATAACTGACATCCTGTATCTGAGCAATCCATAATCTGCCCATTGCACATTAAGTTAAATGAAGCTGTTTGACTGTATAACTGTTGGTCCTCCCTATGAAATACGGGAAAAGAAATGCCATGAAAGGGCAGCACAGCGGAGCAGTGATGAGTGCTGTCGCCTCACAGTAAGAAGGTTCCTGGTTCTAGCTGCTTTGTGACCAACCCTCAGCTTCCCCGTGCTATGGCAGCTTGACCCTCGATGAGGTGGCCGAGTGGTTAAGGCGATGGACTGCTAATCCATTGTGCTCTGCACGCGTGGGTTCGAATCCCTTCCTTGTCGGGGATTAGTTTCCTTGGGCAAGAACCCCCCCCGCGCCCCCTTGCCCCCCGATGGTTAAAGCCACCGGTTGAGGTGGCGCCGCAGATGGTTGCCATCGGTTCTGTACCGGAAAGGGGAGGCAACAGTGGTGCGGTGGGGAGAGGAGGCGATTCCTTGTGTGTAACATGCTTGGCCAATATCCTTAAACTAACCAGCCACCGAGAACTGTAGGCTGTCAACAATGGAGCAGTGTGGGAATTTATTATTTGTGAACTACATCGTCCAAAGGGATGCGTTTGTGCCTGTACTGCTGGAATAAAGTAAAAAATAAAAAAAAGTTAGCGGCAGTTTCTGTCTCACAGCAAGAAGATTCCAGGTTCAGGTTCAAGCCTTTCTGTGTGGATTTTGCATGTTCTCCCTGTGCCTGTGTGGGTTTTCTTCAGGTACTCCACAGTCCAAACAGATGCAGCTTAGGTTGATTGGTGACTCTAAATTGCCTGTAGGAGTGTGTGTGTGTGTGCGTGGTGTGTGTGTGTGTGTGGTTGTCTGTCTTTAAATGTCAGCCCTGTGATAGACTGGTGACCTGTCAAGGGTGGACCCCACTTCCTGCCCAAAGTCAGCTGGGATTTGCTCAATCTATCTAGGTCCTTTGTCTGTCTAGGTCCTGGCCCCTCTCCAGGGAGGCCTGCCCCAGCAAACAGGAGTCATCATCCAGCCACAGCAGATCGTCTTAGCTTCAGGAAACAAAGTCCAAGGCAATACACAGGTCAGCACTTTTAACATGTCTTTAAAACTGATTTCATTTTTCTCATCTGGAAGATGGCAGTGCAGTTTTATTTTCTAATGTCCTGTCCTGTTTTCCCTACCATAGTTTACAGCTTTTTTTTTATCTTGTTCCATTTTAAATGGCTGTATAGGAGTAGTATAGCTTGACTGAAGTGCTTTGGGTATTAAACCTACAGGAAGCTTGTTTTTAAAGTTACCGTATGTAGAATTTTTCAAATATGCTTTTAATAGAAACATCCCTCAAAACTTGCCTTAATGGGGAGAGCTGCTGTCGAAGACTGTGACCGCAGACTCATCAAACAGCCTGGCAGCAGTGCAGAGAGATTCCCTCCTAAAGGTTTTTGAGAAGGATGACGTTCTCTAAGCAATCAGAGAAAGCCACCATCAGGGATGAGAACTCATAGCTGTTAGTCAGTATGTCAGCACTGTATTGACATTGTTATGGCCG